AAGAGGCCAAAAGAGATTAACAGGACTCCTTTCCGATTGCGTGCGGTTAGTAACACTGATTCAGGGTATCATGCATAATTACATGAATACAGTTAATACTTGGCACATGTGCAAAAGACCAGCCTCATTTCTAAATCACGGATTCGTCGATATTCAGGCTTCATGATGATTCGAAATTAAGGAAAAACACGTTCCCTTTTGAGACATTAGTGAATGTATTCAGTTAAGTTTTGTTGAAGCAAAACATTACTTTTATTTGAGCTTAACATTTCAAAATCAGATGACAGAAACCAGTCAGAGCGACGAACGGAGTTGAAGCTGAAATTTGGCCTGCGAATCAGGTCGTGTGCTTGTGATGCATGGTACCCTGACGAATGGCACAGTTCATATATGATCTAATGTAGAAAGGAGCCCTACCGAGACGGTACAAAATCACAGCTCCACTTAATATTTTTGGCTCCACTGAAATCAATACTTTTTATAATGTGTTTTTTCTCAACTCAAATGATCTAGGGAAATAAACTTCTCCATATAGTCACTTGAGTTAACGTAGAGCTCAGTAAGTGAAAAAAAGAGGCATGATATGGATTACTTAGCGCTTACCGGTATAGAAGAACGCAAAAATAACACAACCACTCTTCTATTATATACAATCTCACAGTTGTAATATATGAAATGGCAGTGCGATAGATAATAGTTTTTGAAGACTTGGAAACCATTTAGGTGGACATATTTGAAATCATTTTTATGTTTGAAGCATAGAAAGACCAAGGTGACAAATGTAAATTTGTAAGGATTAAAAACGTACATTTAATGTACATTTGATGTACGCGTTTATCATTTTCTTGGCCGATACACATGTTTTTTTCTCGCATTTGGCCTCTTTGGGAAGCCATATTGGGCGCCATCTTGAATTTGAAGCAAGATAGCACAAGAAAGATACCAGAGATGAACTTATGACGATAAAAACATTAACTAAAATTCTATTTATGCTTTTACCACATAATATATCTAGTATATGCCGTTTTTCCATATATGTCCATTTTGGCGGCCATTTTGGCTGCCATCTTGGGATATCTCCAGCACAGCGGGGTATTTTACTACTCTTCTTGCAGCCCTCCAGTGTTTCTTCCCATGTCAAGAGCCATAAAGCTGGGTTTTCCAAGCTGGAATATGCTAGTTATTTCCTGTTCCTAGTTTTTACAATGTAGCTTACACCAACAATTTCTTAGTTAAACTTCTGCCGATACACCATTTGCAATAAACGTTTTTTGGGAAAGATTAGTGTATCTGTAAAGTACCGATCAATGAATGGAATCCGAGGCTGTGACTGATCGAATACACCGTCAAACCTCTCGCCAGTGTGATATTCAGTAGGCTTTGCAAAACAAAACAACTGTATCCGCCCTTGCATAGGGCACTGGGTACGAACTAAGTTTTAACTCTGGCTTTGAGTCAAAGGCAAATGAAATTGGCCGACTACTGACGGCAACCAAAAACAAGGACGTCTACAACAAGAGCAACGATAACAGCAGCGTCAGCCCACTGCCTTCCCTCCTGCCTTCACTGTTGCATAAAGTTTGATATAGGCCACTGTATTTACATACCTGTATCCGGTCCCGATTATGGGAACTAGTGAAAGATCTTTCACTGGGCCTCATTCATTTTCGGTCGACAGATTATAATGAAAACGGTGTTTGAAAAGTCAGCATTTTGTTACATCAAATACAAATATTTTGTGTTAACAGTGTTTGTAAAGTTACTTCCTTACATGACAAGTAGCATCAACTAGAGCCAAATCATGTGATCCGTTCAGTGAAAATGAGTCCTAAGGCCATTTGTTCAGAAACAAGGTTTTAGTTTGCATTGGAAAAAACAAAAAATACCTTTTTTTTATCAACTATGTTGGCATCCTGATTAAAATGGACATTGTTGAGGGGTTCCTACTGATTTCCACAAAGTGAAAGACTCTTTAAAAGGACTGAAACTCAACAGTAGCTCTTGCGACTTGTGACTCATTTCACAGAACTGGCTACATATACATGTAATTTGTAGCTTATGAAGTTTGAGGTCCAAATTACCCGTTTTAAACGTCATTCACATGTGTATGGAAAAGAAACGCTTTAAATAAAGGAAGGAAATAGGCATACTGAAAATGGAATCTTAATACACGTCAAATTATGGAGTAATAAGTTGCATCAAATTTTCCTTTGCAGTTGTTCATATTTAAAATCAGAGACTGGGTAGACCTCGTCCAAACAGGGAAATTACTATCACTTGACTAAAACGATGTTTCGTATTTTCATAGCAAGGCCTAAATGAAAACGGGTACCAAAGACTGTTTGCGTACGCACTTTAAAAAGGAAGACTGTTGCCTCAAAACGCAGAGTAAGTCCTAGTCAAAAATCAGACCCTGACATATGGAAACTCTTTACTGCAGTGCGCACGATATTTTGCCTCCAACAAACATAGCAGCTCCACAAACATGGATCTGAAACGGTGGAGCCGTGCGGTTAATTATGCGCATGTGGATGGGCGTACGTATTGGCTTCACTTGATTTCTGGACGGTGACGTATACAGTGACATGTGAATTGTCCCAACAGAATGTATGGTAAATGAGAAATGGAAAGGACCTTTGTAAAGCCCACTCCGAAACTTAATACAGAAAAGAACAAGATTTTAATGCGAATTTCTAACCAACAACGAACCATTTACTAAATTAAAACGAGTTGTTTTAATAAGCAATGTTTTACCCAACAGAGTAAACTTCTGTATGTCAGAGGAAGGCTGCTTTTCCTCACTGGTCTTGAAAATCAATTTAGGCCTACGCATAATCAGCGTGAATTAGTAGTGACAGATTCCGCGTGCTCTGCCTGCGTCCTGCTTACACCGTTATTAGTGCAGGGAACGGAGATAAATGGCAGATATGGACTGCATTATTAATCACCATAACGACATCCATTTGTCTTCTTTGGCATTATGCAAAGGTTATGTTGTCAAAGTCCAGTGCTGTGGCAGCGGCGTGGAGTGAATGGGTGTCAATTTATTGAGTGGATCGACTCATTTGCATAATACAGACAATTATATAGCTTGATTCTATTTGGCTCAGCAGTATGGGCAATGGGGTAAAGCCACGTCAGATCTGATCAGTGGCACGGTTATAACATATTCAATGTGTGGTTTATTTTCGTCTTTGCCACAGTGGTATACAGGTTGTGCGTACAATAGTCCTGAAAAACTCACAAGAGGCAACCCCATACCCAACTCTGGGAAAGTTTGGATATTGAATGTGGAGATCATTAAAAATTGTCGCCGAACGATAAATGAACGGGTGCCTATCGAAGGTTTAGATTTGTTAAGAAAAACATGGGATGATGAATAGTTATGTTCGACCCAGAATTGTCCGAAATAACAATGGAATGGAACAGAACAAAATTTTTATCTATTAAATTTTAGAGATGCATTACAATTATGAATTTGTACGTGCAGATTAGGCATAACATAGGGTATTTATTTAACAGTCAACCGTATGGATCACTTCCTAGCCTAAGAAAGTGTATTTTACTAGGTGGAATCAACCTTGATACGGTAAATTAGGCCTACGCTACAATAAATTCCTACCAAAACACATCCGGAATGCAAAAACTGATGTCTTTAAATCTATATTTAAGACTCACTTGTTTTAAACAATTTCGATTGATATAACTGCTCTTATTACTTATATTACTGATGTATCATTTTGGTCAATTTGTTAAGCGCTTCGAGACGTATGTGCAAATGCGCGATATTAAAACTGTATTAGGCCTATTGCTATCAGCATCCTCGTCGTCATGCGTCGTCCCCGTTGCGTTACCAACACAATGCCCTATCTCAGAGCACCATCCATGTAGTCGTTAAAACAGTGGTGGCCCATGGATGCATTCAATCGTTACCATCGTCGTCACCATCTTCCTTGTCGTCTTGTTACCAAAGACATTTCTCTTGTCATTAACAATGTTAATTTTAGTACTCACCCGGGGTCTTGGTATTTAGTGCATTGCGCGAGACTGTTACCCACACATGCAGAGATTATGGTTACAGATGGTAGGCATCGCAGCAGCGAGTCTTCAAAGCCACGATTTCAAATCATGTACATTGACATTCTGGTTGTAAACAAATTCACCTTTTCATGTAGACGTTCTTTCTGCGAAGATAAAATTACACATGTTTGCCGATAGTTGCTGCTCAGTAGTCACTTCATCAAATGCACGTGTAAACAGGTTAGAACCGAACTCAAACTGAAATTCTTGGACAAGATAATAAGATTTAACATTCTGCAATTGTTCTTTCATATAATTCTGGAAGACAATCGTCACAAGTATAAAGGTCGTTCCATAAACGGCCACCTCTACACAAAGCACACGTACATCATCGGATACGAGCACAGTCTGACGGGTGTGATGTAATCCTGTTACTGTTTAGTGCCATGTCAACTTACGGTTCAAACACTAAGCAAGACAGCACACTTCGGCAAAACAGGCCATAGACGCTAGGTATTTTTAAAGGTTATTACCATGGAAACGAGGATGCCAAGCGCTTTATTATTAGGATGAAGGGGAGATGCGTGATCAATCAGTTTCTTTGTCGTAGCTGTGCGCGCGTATAAAGACGAATTATAGCAGGCATAACATTATGCATCTTGTTGACACGTTTCGAATTTTGGTGAGGATAAATTACACAGCACTGTAGTACGGGTGCATTTAAACCTATTGTCACTTATGATCAGCAAGGAAATCATGCTAATGTATTTTTAATTCCGTTTTTATTATCAGTGATAGAGCTGTTTCGAGGATTCCAATTAGTATTGCGTACTTGCGTATGCTGGTGGACCTACATCCGCTGAAGCATTGGCCAGTATGTAGCCATTCCCGAATGACATCTGTTTTTACGAACACAGACGTACTTTCCCCGTTAGCGGTGGTCCTTGATAGCACAGTAAAAAGTCACTACGTACCAACTACCACGCTGGCGGATAAACTACACGTTCCTGATCAAAATGGCGTTGCTGTGTGTTGGAAGAAGAAAGGCAGCTCAACAGATGAGGGTAGGTTTGCAGGTTGCATACAATGCTATAAGCCTCATGTGGGTGGCGTGACCCAATGTGACCTAGGCTACACTTATACATGTAGTATATCTAGTCTGTATCAGTTTAGCTGTCTTTCTAGTTTGAACGTGGGCTATAATGCGAATACATAAATCTTCAAGTTTAAAGATCAATCGCATATTGACGTAAAGTGGTTACATGTATTTAACAGGTAATTGGTCATTGTTACCCATATCATGACTAACTTGGCAGCTTCTCTTCGCATTTAAGTTTATTAAAAAAAATCGTCATTTTGGGAGTTCAGTTCCAACGCGAGAATGCTCAGAGTAAAAAAAAAATGCGTTTATGATGTCATGATAATACGGCTCTCAATCCCCCAGAGTTTCTGTTGAGAACACAGCATTTATAGAATTCAGGATACAAGGCACTTGTGAACGACACTTTTAGCTGTCTTCGTCAGGTAAAAATGTGAGAAAAAAGTGTTGAAAAAAATTAGTTAAGGACATTCATACCCTGGATGTTAGTCGCAATGTAATGTAGACGTCGTCCAACCTGGGCTACTCTTTCACGTGTATTATAATAATGCATATATCGCTACATAATGAACTAGGGAAATCTCTTGAATCAAACAATGGAAATAGTATATGTGTGGTCGACGCTTTCATGTTAACATTTAAGTTTGCTGAATATTCCCACTGCTCACACTCAGCTTTGATTTACCCTACTGCAGCCCGGGGATTTACGTAGGCTTATTAATTGTGCGTTTGTATGTGTGTATTTTTTTACCACGAAATCGGCTGAAAATGGTCGTTTCAGTATTCCCAGTCCTATTGTTTTGCACAATGACGCAATCATATTTGACCAGGGTCAGCTTGCTCGAACCAACAGCAGATCCTTGACAAAATTTTCGTGGGGGGGCATTTGGGATCTACTTTTAGGGGAGATCCTTTTTTTTAAAGGGGGCATGCTCCTCCTCCCGTATCCGCCCTTGACTCGAACCCTATTCCCATTTAGTCTCCAATATCGAAATTAATGAGGTCATACCCCGACAGTTCTTAAAACACAAAATTCAAGTGCCCACGGGTTCATAAGTCTGAAAACGTGAAATTACGGTTATCATGGTGTTGGAAACCTTCATGCCTCAGACCTCCAAGCCGAAAGGAATGTAGGTCAGGACTTTATTTCCAATTTTTATCTGTTTAAAATGTTTAAATAGCACAAACATTTTTGAGTGATACATTTTGCAGAAATATTATAGGCATAAAAATTTCTTTCTTTTCGTAAAAGTGACATAATGATATGAATTTATTCCTTCCCCTCACTAGATTTCCCAAGGAAAGAGCACTTCGAAAAAAGGGGCTTATACGAGTCCGACGTAATGACCCCATATCCAAGAAACTATGGCAGACGAAATGCACCTACCTTTGCTCCAATCGTCTCAAACGAGAATGTTTCTTCTATGGAGAGAGGATGAGGAAATTAAAGCGAGGGGCAGAGCCGACACTGTTTCCGTTGAATGAAAAAACAAACATGGTATGTAATTCAGATTTAGTAAGTCGAAATAGTCTTTGCCTCATTTATTTTTTTGCTTCAGTACAGGACAGATAACTCAAGGAAGGCTTTTGGTCCGCAGTTGAGCATAATTCAGGAGAATTTCAAAATCAATTTCCTTCTTTTAATTTAATCCACGACTTATACATTTTAAATGCTAGGTTTCGGCAAAAAGGAGCGCATTAACTTCCATTGTGGCTGATGCCCAACTACCCACAGCGACACCCACGCCTCAGCAACTAAACAAGAATATCCAGCAGGTAAGTGTAACATATGTTTTGGCTGTTCAAATAATTTCTTTGATTCGCATTTTAGGGAGAATGTCACTTTAAGTTCCTCTTTTATATTTGCAATTACTGGATTAATATGTAAAATTTACCCATGATGTAGTATTCAAATCGACACATGCCTTTTACAGATTGTAGGAACATGGCTATGCAAAGACGGTGGGTAGTTCGGTGAAGGAAATCAACGATCTAAAGAGTAAATTGAAAGCCACAAAACAAGAATGAGTGCCACAAAAAACGACTCAAGAGAAGAGATAGATGCCTTGCGTCTATGACTAAGAAGTTGGTGGAAATAAAGCTCATCAGCGAAGACCAGAAACGATCGTTGACAGAAGCATATTCCAGTATTTCCAGTGTACGTGAAAACAAATTTTCTAACCTGATGATATAGCAAGGGGGATCTTGATTCTCACATGAAACTTATTTGTCATGATCTTCTAAACATCTAGAATGTCCTTCCTATGCGATTGATACTTGAAAAGAGTAAAGAGTGTTTTCCAGGAAACCAGGAAATAGAAATATTTTTTTAAAATTTTACTAAAAACCCTGGAAATTGCATCTTTGGGTTGCAGTTTTAACTGATATTTTTATGCTTTTGGGGCCTTTATGTCAGTAAATATTTGCATATTCATGAGCAGAACTATGATGTCATGCAAGGCACTGAATCTCAATGTTGCACTGATTTCTGCACAGAAAATGTGTAGATATTTTTAACAACTGACACGGCAGATTTCATTTTCTTTGGCTAATTATTGCTGTGTACTTATATGGCAATAAGCCAGCGAAAATCCTTTTCACAGAAATGTTCCAAGATAGCAAATTTGGGGTCCACAATTTGAACATGAAAACACGCAACCTGAACCATGTCTTCCTGGATTAACATTAAAGCAAAAGCGCCCTCACTTGTCCGGATTGCTTAGTCAATTTTTAATGTTTTAAAAAGTGCACCGTTCAGTTCACATAACTCAAAAAAGATGTCAAACAGTCTTCATACATGGAAGAAGAGTACAGAGATACACTAAAAGTGACTCTAACAAGAATTCATTTCCTGGATCCTTTAAGTAATTATAGGTTTTCCCGCCCACCTTTTTAAAATTGGCGCCCCAATTAACGTTAGGCTCATTCAATTTAGCGCGAAATTGATCGACGATCCAGATCAACATTCAGTCAGCTAAAACAATCATTCAATTTAACTCCATTAGCACGCGATTGCAAATTCCTCTATTAAACAGCAAAGTTTGAGTCGCTATTTAGTTTAGAAAGCCCCAAGAACAGAAGTCAAATTCGTGCGGTCCCTCTGTGGTACTCGTAATAGGCATGCGATTTCGTGAATAGGCACGCATTTCTGACATCTGTGCAATGTTTTTCATCGAAGTCTGATTTACAAATTTGAAATGGTTTATGCTTGACTAATTTATTCAAATTCCATTATGAAGAAGAGGGGTTTCACTTGCAGAAAAAATCTCTCTCAGTACACTAATATCACCTTGATGGGAGAACCTCTTGTCAATAATGTACGTATTTATTTCTGCTTAAACGAGAAAAAGAAATGATCCAATTCTTCTTATCTGGTTAAATGATTCTTAAAACAATGACCAAATACTCAATCTTTTCAGCAGTAATCTTGTAATTTGTATTTTTCCTGCTTGAAGATTTATAAAAAGAATTTTTTTTACTTAAAAAAAATAACAACACGATATGATCCCCATAAGCATTTAACAGAAGAAAAGTATACACATATAAGTTAAATGAAAAGGTTGGGGATAATAACGATCCAGGGCAAATATCGCCAGCGATCAAGATGTCTCTGGAACTGTATACGTATCGTAATTATACCGAAACTCTTTTCTCCAGTACTTAATTTGAAAAGCTAACATTGCGAATATGAGTGCCCATTGACTGATATGAAAGTAAAATTTGGGTAGGAATCCACCTCCTAGTCACCCACGACGAAATTGAGTGACGGTTGTGCATCGTGAAATTGAATGATACTGTTACTAAACTGAATCCTTGAAAGGGCATGATTGGACGTCCACAAACGAAACTGAAGGTGCATAGTTTCTAAAATCAACCCGTGGGAGTAACGGGCTTCGAGAAATCGCTCGAATGTAAAATGCACTTTAATTAATGAATTTGGATGCAGTTTTAACTAATTCGGCCGGGAAAACCTATAGGCCTATTATTTTTCAATAATGCAGGACTGGATGGCAAGCAACCTCCATTTACCAAAAGCCACTACTTGTGAACTTCACAGAACCGACTGGGTGTAGCCAGAATTTCAGTCATCTGTCACCCCTACAGATACTTCAACTCTTCTTCTGTGAAGCAGTTTGGCAGTTGCTGGTGAAGGAGACCAACCGCTATGCAGATCAGACGCTATCTGCAGAATCCGCCAACACTCGGTGTACTTGGGTGGAAGTGACTAAGCATCACAAATGTGTCAGTACTTTACGCATCATCATAGATCCCCGAAATGGTGGAAATAAGTTTTCTTTGCAATTCTTGACATCTGTTTGGTTAATTTTGCTATCATCGTTTACAGCAATAGACTCGGGTAGTTTAGATTGTGCCTGCCCCCTTCAACCACCCCCAATTCCACCCCCCCCCATTCCAATGTTGCAATGGATCGCTCTGGCCACGCACCAGCCTTTAACACAATGCAGGTTCCCGTCACACCCCCATTCCTCCCTTCAACAACCCCCAATACCCCCCCCCCCATTCCAATGTTGCAATGGATCGCTCTGGTTTCGCACCAGCCTTTAACGCAACATTGGATGGGGGGCGGGGGCATCAAGTAGCTCCCAGAAATCATTTAGAGGTCTGGAAAGTCCATTTTAGCAGCAGAGTATAAGATGTATCAATGTAAACTCAATTTTTTAGACCAGTCTCAGAGGTTTTGTATTCAGGGTGTGAAATGAACTTTGTGTTCTATTCATACAACCCTATGCTTATTCAACAGCCTCATGCTATTTTCTTTTCTCATTTGCATATGGAATGTTTTTCTTTATCTTATAAGCTCTAATCTCTCTGAATTAAGTACAAGTATGTATTAGAAGTTATTTATGTCCACATTGATAATTTCAATGTACTAAGTTTCTTAAATTTCTGATATATCGTCGCTTATCCATTTTGTCAATTTCTATGTATCAAGCGCCCTTAATTATCATTGTAAATTTTTGTTAAGAGTACGGAATAAGCGTTTTCTTGAATCTTGATTTATTGTGTATGGAACTCATTCCCGTGATTTTTACTAGAAAAACTTAAGTGGTGTTCTGCTTATTGGATATCATTACTATTAGTCAATGGAGAGTCATTGCAAGAGTGGTCTTTCATGATCTCGACTGGTGAGGGCGCTATGCACTAAAAGTCGCTGAATTTTGCCTGGTAAGCAAGGGAACTCGCATGGGAAAAAAAGTGTAGTATTAAAGGAACCCATGAATGACCAGAAAGGTCTTGGGGCTGATAGGGATATTATCTTGTTTAAAAAACGCAGAGAAAAAAGGGGTATGAAAAGTTGGGAAAACGGTCCATTTGTTCCCGATGGACAATATTTATTTCTGATAAGATAAAACAGAATTACTGATAAATGTAATTACTGATAAATGCTTGCACACTGTACACGCAGCGCATAGGCCTATAACCCCCCCCCCCGAAGCGCAGAGCTAGGAGAAATTGGGATTTTACTTTAACAACTCTTCGTGGTGCGTCAAAAGTGGACAACTAAAAACTTCAAATTCCCACTGGCAAACTTACTGTCATGCTCCAAAAGTAGACAACCCCATTTTCTCATTTCGTGTACTCGTAGATTTTCGGGTTTGGGGAATTTAGGCTACGTAAAGCATATTCAAAAGTGTGGAATTTAATTAAAGAAGTCTTCGTGCCGCGTCAAAAGTGGACAACTTAAAACTTCAAAATTCCACTAGCAAATTTTGTTTGATGCTCCCAAAGAGGACAACCCCATTTTCTGCAAGTAGATGTTCGGGTTTTATGAAGTTGCACCACTACTTTTCATAAAACCCAATTTTCTGCTAATAGAAATTTGGATTTTACTTTGCCGACGGCGGGGTGGACCAAAAGTGGACAAGTTATAACTAGAAGGACACTTTCCTCCCTGCGTTGAAATGGAACGGTCTTAGGAAGATTGGCATCACCCGACCCTGAAAAAATAAGGTGGACGAAAGTTGCGAGGCTGCCAGAGTGACGACCCTTTGTACATATACATGTACATGTACATGTAGTTGTACTGCAAACGTGTGGAGCCGTCTGTTGACGGGCATCAGGCGTCATTTCCCTTGGTGTATGTGATCGGCCTTTTTCATGCAACTTGTATGTCCATTTAGCCGATTTTGTGAAAAAGACTGGACCTTCTTCACGTCAAGGATGTGAATTGTATGGGATTTATCGCAGGAGAGTATTATTCTATAGGAAATTATTGAAAATAATTATGTCCAAGACTGGTAAAAATTATGAACTGGTTATGGTGGAAGTTACTCGGAGTGGCAAAAGTGAACAACCAATTTTTTGATATTCAGATATCCTAAGATTTGCTATTCAATCCACCGTCCATGCATTTCACAGTACATGTATCTGATGACTGCCCTGGGACGTCACTTGCAAGTTTGTGTTTAAATTGCGTCAATATCTTTTCACGTTGTCACTTTGAATCATTTGTCTTCATACTAATGACCCAGGCCTCCACTCTAACTACCCACATGTTTTGATGACTTGAACAAAGATTTGAATGATAAATATTAAATTAAATCTTCGATGTCATATCAGTGACCGAGTGGTGTACTGGCTGAAAGATTATTTTCTTCGTGGCTATCCTTGTTATTGGAATTACTGGCTGAATACGTGTTTGGGAATTATTTCAGCAAATTCAAGTTTTTGAAACTCTTGATTCACTTGATTAAAAAGCACCTAGTTTCTTCTCTTGAGATGACTTTTCGATTACAACCTGTTTCGTTCCACAACAAATTCAATTATCCTACTGGAATGGACACAATGATTTATTCTAGCTATAACTTCGTTTAGGGGACATATCACCATGCGCTCATTCATTTAAATGGAAATTCCCGACGGCAAGCCACCACCGTCATTCGAATTACACTGTGTGCTGAATCGGAAGTTTGCGGTACCATAAAGGACTATCAGGCTTTGGATGGCCCCTTTCCTATTTGAAAGTTTCTCAATAGGAACATGGAGGAAGGACACAGAAGGAGTTTGAACTGCCCGGGCTATAACATCTGGCCGATTACCACTTTCTGGCATGCCCGGTATGTCCATAGCCCGAGCGCAGCGCGCGCCTTCCACCCACCAGCTGTTTTGCAACCATAAGCTCCCTTTGTACCCCATGATCGTCGCCGCAATTTTTCGTTGGTGATCTGCATCCCAAAAACGTTGTGTTCTGCGGTATAGGAAGTTGAATATTCATGTCATCGTTGGTGCTTGATATGAACCGACAACATCATCAAATGTACTGTTTGCGTGGTTGCTTTTACTAGGCTGTATACCCGAAGTGTTCATGTGCAGTTGTTGCCCTTATCGAACGCTTTCTTCTGGACTTCTTTCAGGAATAAATAGCGAAGCTGTTTGTAAGATTTTGTGTTTTGTTTGAATCATTTTTTTGGTGGCATTTGTACAAAGGCGTATTTTATGAGATTTCACGATCACTCCTTATGATGAAATAGCGCATTTTATTGCTAATGAACTAAGCTTTCCAGAAGTAGTGAACATTTTGTTGGCCAGTCTTAGCCAAATTCGTTCCAAGTCTTTGACACCGTGTATATTGGACAGAGGAGACTAGAATAACAAACTTTGC